AAAAGGCAAAAAGCCCCCAAATAAATATTTACAAAAGAGTATAAATGCAGTGCACAGGAATAAAAAATTGGATCGTGAGAGTGTGCTTCAAGGTAAATTAAAGGATTAGAGAGCAAGCAAAGTGAAGGTAATGGTGGGAAGGTGATAAATGAGAACAATCACTATCTAAACGTCAACACTTTGAAAGGGAGGTGTTTTCTTAAGTTGCAGTGCATTTGACCTCTCAGGTCTACTATAGATAGGCCTTACAGTTTAAGAATTGGTTCCCTGCATTACAGATATGCTGTTGGCTAAACGTACCAGAGAAAGCAAAACAGAAATGACAAAGACGTGTTTATTATATTCAGGGACAAGCAGAACTTGACATAGGCAGACTAAAAAAAGCAAAATGTACAGGAAACAATTTTTCTCTTATTTTTCATATTCAGTCATAGTGATACTTTCCTGGTTATACGTATGCATATTTTGGAAGATTTTCTTTTTTGTTTTGTCACTGTGGTGGTATTGCCTAAATACTCTACAACTTCCAGAAGTGCTTTGCTTTGGTCTTTCTGATGAATGCACACATTGGTTAAGCATCACCATGTCAGACACTCCCTTCTGTCTGTCCTCTTCTGCTCATCTAATTTACAGTCGTAGGGGGCTGAAGCCTACCCTGGTTGTCACAGGGTGAAAGGAAGGGTGCCATAGACAAATCAAGTCTGTCACCAAGCCAACACACAGAGTTCATGATTTCATGATTAGCTGTTGGCCAGCAATGATGACTTGTCTGACAATAACATCACCAAGGTCCAGCGATTTAAAAAAACAAAAACAAAAAACAAACAAACAAACAAAAAAACCCAACTTCTATGGCAAATCTCTTCATCCGCAACTTTTACTGAAACCGCTAACGAACCAGGTCTTATAATCAAACACCAAGCTACAGAGGAGACGTTGGTTTTTATTGTTCTTTGCTTTTAATTCAGGAGTTGGTGGTAAATACTGAGGCTCAGTTATCTGCCAGCTGTGAGAATGTGAATGACACAACCGTCCCAAAGGTACTCGATTTAAAAAACAAAAAAACCTTCTTCTCCTTTAAAAACAAAACAAAAATCAACTGTAGCTGCGTTAGTCATGTGAACATGAACTGAAACCTGGCCACACACATTAGATCTGATGCAGTGAGTGCAATGAGTCATTTACTGCTTTCAAATATGTGTCATGAAATATTGATACTTATATAATAATCTACATAATTAAAACCTCTGCAGATGTGTCAAAATCTTTATTACAAGTAAAATCTTACAAAGAAAAGACTCTAAAGTACTTACAGTTGAAGTAGTAATTAAGCAGAAAAGGTCCCTTTTTATTTTATTGTGTTTTTTAAATCCTAAAGTAAGTCCTAAATACTGTATTTACATATAATTCTTTGGTTTGTTTTACACTTTTTGCAAGAATTCTTTGGACACATCACATCTTATCTTGACAACTGCACATTGAATTGAAATAAAAATCGATTTGACATGTTGACGTCCTCGTGGATCCATATTAGTCCACTTCTAAGCAGCCAGTTTCTCAAACTCTCCACCTACCTGCTTGTATTATAGGCTTATGTGAAACTTAACTCAAGGAGTAAAATATTCGGGTGAGGACATTTTGCACACAATGTGTGAACGGTGCTTTTTTTATTTTTTATTTTACTAACTTAAATGTGTTTTTAAGAAAATTAAGCAATAACTTTAGATGTCAAATAAATGTAAGGGAGTAGAAGTATAAGAGGAAATTAAAATACTATGCAAGTACACTTCAGTGAGGGTTAAACTTCCGTACAGTACTAGAATAAATCACTGTGACATTGAGGCTTACTGATATCGAAAGTCGGCGTGTTGTCAAGTTCTTGTTTTATTTTCCCTGAGACAGTTTTTGCTACTGAATGTTTTAATGAATTTTAAAAAGTAACTTAAATGTGTTTGTTTTAGCAGAAAAAAGGAGGCCTGGCTAAAATTTTAAAAAGATCCGGCAGCATTGACAACCTTTTGGATGAGGTCAGTGTCAGCCCTGCGCAGAGCGATTACATGTTCAGCTTTTTACGTTCAGTGTTTATGCTAAATCAGTAATATTCCTCTTTCACACACGGCACCCCGTGTAATCTTGAAACTGTGTATAAAAGCAGACCTCATACTGAGTTGCTTCATTCTTGTCTTGTTTTTTTATTTGTTTGTCAGATCGTTTCCTTTGTGGGATTTCATGTCGTCACACTTTAACCACTTCCACATCAACATTTTAACTTTGTCTTGGTGCTTGAGTTACCCTTCGTTTTTGTTTTCTCTCTTCTGGATTCCTCAGTTCAACACACTGTTTTATCTCCAATCAATGTTTGGAGATATTGATCCTAATAAAAAAAAAGAAAGAAGAAGAAGTCATTGTTAGCCATGTTACTTTTCAGACAGACCTTATGAAACTGATGTAGTCTGTACTGTCTGTTAGCAAGATTGTTAATTGTCTGATTTCAGGGGGAAAAACATTTCAGTGAGATGTTCAAGAGAGCTCCAAAACCAGCAGATGAGGTGCAGTGTTGCCCTTTAGATAACTATAATACACTCTAAGATATTCAGTTGTACTTGTGTTGGTCTTTTTTATGCTTTATGTTGTGTTTGTTCAGGAAACAAACGCAGATGAAGAACAGAAATTATCAACCAGCGATGAAAACCTGTCAGAAGCAAACACAGCAACGGTACAGATGTGGACCAGAACATCTGGACTGTCACAGTCATGACCTGTTTCACCCTCATTTATGTCTTTGATTATTTACTGTTCATATATTTCAGGAAAAAACAGGAGGATTGGCAGGATTCTTCAAAAAGTCTCCCAAACCAGCTCCACGCTCTGTCGCTACTCAGGTGCCAAATACATTTGGATTTTTCATGTATTTTTATGCTTTTCGGAGTTAGATGTAGTATATTATCAGAAAATGACTCTTTAAGGCCAAAACTGTGCTTCTTCCTTCGCATTTGTCACTACTTCTGTCATTTATATTTATTTCACTTCTGAAAATATTCCACAGCAGCTCAAACAAGGATGCAAATAATGAAAAATTTAAACAAACACACAAACAAAAGCAGATGTCACGCAGCTAATAAAATCTTATTGTCATGTCATCACGCTCAACCAGACCAAAGTTTTGAAAGCACCATCAATCAAAAGACTGTTTTCATCATTTAATACAATAATTTGGACTTTTTCCCTGAATTCACTGCATTTCTTTTCCAGGATCCCCTCTCGAGGCAGCTGTCAGCCAGCTGTGACAGCCTCACAGATGCAGGAAAGGTGAGATTACAACTGAAACTACTGTCAGGATAATCAGGTCGGGAAGTTATCCTTTCTCAGTGTTGTGGAGTTCTACTTGTGGAAATGCAGGGTCTGGTTTAGGCTATTTGTGCTGCTGCATGTAAGACGCAGCACACAGAAATAATATTCTGCTCTGTATTAATAATGTGATGCCAGCAAATCTAAATATAAGTTTAGATGAGAGACTCTGCATCAAAGGTTTTAAACATTATAGTGTAATCTTTACATTTTTGTCCCTGTTTGGTGCACAAAATAAGTGCTAATAGTTTATATAAGACTGTATTTGTCTTTTTAAAGGAGGCGGCTTTGGCAAACAGTCAGCTGTCTGCCAGTAATGACAATCTTTTAGAAGCTTCAAGCACCCCAAAGGTCAGACTTTTGATTTTAACACTGTTTCTGAGGTTTAGTGAATAAATAAATATGGTTTTATTTTGTTAACAGGAGAAAAAAGTCGTGTTCTCCGGGATCACTGGGATGTTCAGAAGGACGCCAAAAACTGAGGAGCAACAGGTAGAAATGACATCAATCACATAAAAATCCCAACTTTTTAATAATTTGGGCAAGTAACATTTTAGGAAATTTAGTCAATCTCGCTTGAAAATAAGTTATTCCTGTTGTCTGCTGCAGGAAGATGAGGACATGGAGGCTCCAGCAGGAGGCGGGCTGAGACACAAGAGGACCATCAAAAAGAAAAGACGAGTAAGAGCGCATACGAGGAGGAATAAGCACGATCAGTGCGACGTATGCTTTTTACTTCCAGTGTCGGCTGCTGTAGTTGGAGTTCATCAACAATAATCAATGCATATCCAGACGTTTTCTTACACCATTTGAGTTCTCAGTTTTGATGTCAAAGCTCCACTTAAATAAATAAAACATTACTCTTGTTTATTTCTTTCAGGTTGTGTCATTCCGAGTTAAGAAAACTCTTCCTAACATTCCCAAACTTGGCCTGGCTTCTCAGGTACCTGCATCTGTCTGTTGTTATTTTTGTTTTGTTGGCGTTTTGTTTTTTTTTACCTTATTTTTCCACCAGATTTTCCAAAGTTATATTTATTAATAATTTACTTGCAGTCAGTCTATAAATGTAAAGTCTTTCAGTGTAGATTATTGTGGTCTATGACAACCATCATCATTTTTCCTCCACAGACTTCAGATGAAATGCCTTGCATTGAGGAGACTCTCGAGTTGCAGGAGATGAGCCCAGCACAGGTCAGCATGATGGCATTAAAGATTTTAACTTAAAATATTCATTGTGGTTCATGAATGAAATTTTTAAAATTCTCCACTTGATGTTCATATTGTTTAAAACCTCCAACCAGAACTATGATTTTCAACTGTCTTTAATTTAGATTTTTCTAAATTTTCACACAAGAAATGTTTGTATAGGATAACCTCTGACTTTTGATGTGGACCTGTCACGTATTTGTTATTATATGTATATCGTAATTTACAATGTGTACACCACCGCAGTGGATTTTAAGCAGAATGTAATATGTGGCTGGAGTTCAGATTATCAGCTTTAATTCATAGGGTTTAACAAAAGTGTCGCATTAACTCACTGAGACTGAGGGGAAAAAAATTAGGAGTGACCGAATCAACAGTCTGGTGGATTCGACTACAATGATCAGCTCAGCAACACCACTGAAGAAAACTGAAGTGCATAATGACAGAATATTTTTCATGGTTTTAAAAAACCCAATATCATAGCATCGAGCCAAGTCGAGAACACTATCAAAGGAAGTAGACACATCACTTTCAAAGACTGCAATCAAGAGACGCCTTCATGAATTCAGTTCAGTTTTATTTATGTACTGCCAGTGCACAACAAAAGCGTCTCAAGGTGCTTAAATTGACAGGAAACTCGCAACAGTGCGACTAACAGCTGTTTTATTATTTGTTTTCCAGGAGAGCACAGTGGAGGTTCAGCCGGTGGAGATGGCTGCTTATCCGACTGAGGAAAACCCAGTCGAACCTGAGCCGGTGAGCCTCAGAGTTTGTGAGTGTTAGTCATTTATGGTATTTGACAGATGAGTTGTCTCTTCATTCAAGCTTCTTGTTTTCAGGAAGAGGATGAGCTTTTGGAGTGGTGGAACACAGTCAAAGGTTAGTGTGGTTTCAACTAGGGCTGTTCGATATAACGATATATATCGGATGACGATATAAAAACGTCTATGGTTTCATTTTACGCTATCGTTTGTTTCGCGGTGTCGCAAAATAAACTGTTTACGGCAATATTTTTTTCATCGTTTTTGATGGTCACTGTAGTGGCTATATTAATTTCTTAAAGTTCTCTCTTTCTCTTATATTTAATATAACCACACTACGGACGGACAAGCGCCTGTTTTTATGCGTTGTGGTTAGCAACAACGACAGTAACAGCATCGCGTGTCCGCTTGTTTATTTTCCACATAAACCTTTCACAATAAAGCTCAAGATCCCGTTGAGACTTTTCAAAATAAACTGAGTCACGTGAAAGAGCAGATTATTTACGGATGAGAATTAAAAAAGAGCCGCCAGGTGCTAAAAAATAAACCTTAGACTCAAACGTTAGAACAGGCTTTTCCCTGCAGCACAGAAAAGAAAAGAAAACGGCGGCCTTTACAACTTATGTCTAAAAATGTATCGTTTCATGCATCGGTTAAAACACTCGACTCCAGCTACATGACGCGCAGCTGGAAACACTTCCCACAAGTCAAGCTGCCCGAGATCCACAGAATTTACAGAAAATGTTACATTTTTGTGATTTATATCGTTATCGGACGATAGAATTCTTATATCGGGATATGAGATTTTGGTCGTATCGCACAGCCCTAGTTTCAACATTTAGGAGAACTATTATTTATTTTTTATGTTTTCTGTCTACTCGTTGTATTATTTCTGCTGCTGTTTGCCAGGTTGGAAGGAGTGGAATGAGACTTCTGATTTCCGGGCAGAGGATGAGGAAATGTGAATACAGTTTCTGTTTTTTAATAACTTTACCTTCATGTTTCCAGTAAACATAATATTTGAGATTTTTGCATTTGTTTTTAGGGTATAATTCTTTTTTGATTTGTTGACAACTTCAAGGCTTAAATTTAGCAGTAAATCCAGTCTTAATAATAATAATTACAACTTTATTTGTCAGATTGACAAGCATAATGTTTCTGTTTGTGTCTGTTTCTGCAGGGCGATGGAGCAGGCAGCCGACCGCGTCTACATGGCAGCCCGTCTTTTTGTGCGTCTTTTCAACCAGCGCGGGGCGTCCTTACAGCATCGCATCCTGGAGCTTTTGGCTATGGCGGATGCTGCGGATGAGTTTCATAAGAAGACTGTGTCGGCCGCTGTGGGCGGAGGCGTGGCCAGCGTCGCGGGTAGCGTCACCACAATCACAGGCCTCATTCTGGCGCCTTTCACTTTTGGCGCCTCTATTATTGTGACAGCAGTGGGGATCGGTGTGGCGACGGCAGGCAGCATCACGTCAGCGACGGCTAAAATCACAGATACGGTCCACTCCAACATGGACCGTAAGAAGATGGAGAAAATGATCCAGGGCTACCAGGAGGAGATCAAAGTCCTCAGAGAGTGCATGGAGTTTGTGCAGGTGAGGGGATTTTTTCTAAAAGGTTAAGAACAAAGTATTTAAAGCACACTCTCTGAGATCAGAATACATTCCTGAGCCTACTAAAATATGATGGATTTTTTTTGTTTTGTTTTGAAATGCAAAGAAACATGTTGCCTGCCCAAGCTGAAATCTCTTAAGCTTTGCAGTAGTATCACAGATCCCTCAGCAGGTGGCATCATACAGCTCCAAGCTGTGTTGACTTGCAGCACCTGTTATTTCTATGGAGGCAGTAAGCGTGTACTTAAATTTCACAGGACTGCAAAGCATCCAATGAAAACCTTATTTTGTATGTGCTATTTATTCACAAGATTATTTACGAGTTTTGTTAAGGTATTAAAATATACTTAAAAGTATTGATTTGGGCTTTTTCACAGAGGATAAAGTGGCAGCCTTTCTTTCTCAAAGGTTAACGCCTGTGCATGGGTACGCGCTGCTCTGGTCAAGTGCTTATATGGCAGTTTACTGTGACACAATACTACATTACAGCACTGCAACAATGACTGCAGTGTTTTAAATTCCTAGGACTGTAAATCCAGAGTTTTGTATCCCTGAATTTAGACACTCTGAGATGTAATCTAGCCTAGATTCAGTCAGTTAAGTCCATGTTTAACTGATTGTGTATGGTTGGTACTTTATACCCCTTGGCTGTAAAAGGCTGATGGAGTATTGTCGTCACTCTGCTGGTTGGGCAGGAGGGCGGGCAGCGTGGACACCCAAAATGATATCTCAATAATATTTTATCAACAGGTTTGACTTTAAAATCAAATATATCCATCTCTTTATTGTCTCTCTTTTCTGCTGTAGAAAGGTCTTGACACCCTGCAGGAGTGGGATTTTGAGAAATACGCTCAAAGTGCTGCCAAAAAAGCTATGAACCACAACATTAAACACGTGATGAAAGAGGGAGGCCGCGCGGGAAAAGCCCTGATGATCAACACCAACCAGCTCGTCAGCACCGTGCAGGTTTTAGGTAGGGCAGGCGGCATAGCCAAGGCCGCTCAGGCCATCAGCGTCACCACAGGCGTCATGTCGGCACTCTTTTTGGCTTTGGATGTTTTCTTCCTCGCTAAAGACTCTCATGAGCTTCGCAAGGGTGCCAAAACCAAATTTGCCACCAAGATCAGAGAGGTATGTAAAGACCTTCAAGATGGCCTCCTGGAGCTCAACAGGGTGAAGACGCAACTGCAGAAGACGATGGACGGCATTGAGGTGGAGGAGTTTGAGGAGGTTGAGGAGGTGGAAGTAGAGGTTGAGGACGACTTGGTGTCTGATCCAAAGAAGCTGGCTGAGCTGGAGCAGGAGCTGGACCTCCTGGAGGAGAAAGTGGACAAGAAGGTTGTAGAGGTTGAAAAGAAGGGTAAAGAAATGGAGAAGGAAAATTCAAAAATTAAAAAGGTGAAGAAAGAGGAGAAGAGCATAAAAGAAAAAGATGAGAAGGAGAAAAAGGAGAAGAGCTTGAAAGGAAAAGATGAAGAAAAGGAGAAAAAACAGGAGGACAGTAACGACAAAGACAAAGAAAAATGCAAGTCCAAAGAAAAGATGCCCGATGAGGAAAAAGAGGAGAAAAACAAGGCAAGTGGCAAAACTGCCAAAGAAGTCCTGAAACAACAGTCTCAGAAAGAAAGCAAACAAGACAAAAACACCAAAAACAGAATAACAGCTGGAAATGACAACTGTAATGGTAAGGTCAGCAAGATAAACGATGATATTGGTACAAATAAAACAACAGAGAAAGAGAAACATAAAAGTAGAAAAGAGCAGGAGGAAGTGAAGAGCAGATCAGAGGGCAGCAAAAGTGAGCGAGTGAAACCTGAGAGAGGAAGTGAAAGGAGAAGAAGCAGCAGGGACGATGAAGGAGAAATGAAGCCACCTGAAAGTACATCTGTAAAAACAGGGGACCGCAGTAAGAGGAGACATAGCAGCAGCAGTGAGAAAGTGGTAGAAAGAGGAGGTGAACATCTAAATAGAGGAACTGGCGAAGAAAGGCAAAGTAGGAAAGGGAGCGAGGAGGATAGAGGAGTAAAGGACTGGAGAGCTGAAATGGCAAAAAATAGAGAAGAAAAGAGACATGGTCAGGAGACTGAGAACAGGAAGGAGTCGCACCAAGATCACGAAATATCATCAACGAAGAGGAGAGGGTCAGAAAGAGAGTTAGGAGGCAGCAGAGAGTATTCAAAGAGGAGCCACCACAAGAGGGAGCACAGGGAGAGGGGTGATGAGAAGCATGGGAGCAGGGTGGAGAGTGCAAGGAGGCAGTTTGAGAGGGCAGGAGGTGAGGGAGGTGACACAAAGGCAAAAAGAAAAGACGATGGAGAGAGTCAGAGGAGTAACAGAGAGAGGAGAGGAAGTGAAAGAGGGAGAGAGCATGAACACAGCCAACCAGGACAACGAGCTCTCCAAGCTCTCCTGCGAGACGGACTGGACATTTAATTCTAACATCTTACCAGCCTTACCAACAAAAACATACAGTGTGTTACTTCAACAAGAAAATCCACTGTGTCTACGGTTTCTCACAGTACTGCAGTAAACCAGTGATAGCTGTGTGTACATGGAGGCGTACATTACAAACAGGAGCAGCAGAAGGCTAACTGAACTCCTTTTAATGACGCAGATACAAGGATGAAACAGTAGCACTACTGGGGTGGGGGGTAGGGGTTGTCCCACTTCTGACCTGATGCTCTGTGAGGAGCTTCAAGTTGAAAGTCAGGACAGTTTGAAAAAGAAGCTGATTTTTGTCATTTGACAATAAGACAGTGATGTAGGAACGCCAGCAGCAGTGTTGTGAGCTGTCCAGAGATGCATTAGAATATCGTCTTGAAATTTTTTAGCATGTTTGGTTTTTGATTTTTGACTCCCAGAACGTCTTGATTACACCTCTTACAAATGTGATGAGTACGGGTGTCTTCATGGGATTTGTGTGATCCACAGATGATAACTCTAATGACTTTGATGCCTTCAGCACGACTGTTGGGTCAAAGGTAAAACTTTATTGTATCAGAGGAAAATTTACCTTCTGCTACTGTGCAGTGCTAAAAATAACTCAACATACAACATATAAATACCCCAATAAAAGATGGCAAATGCAAAAACAATAAATAAATAAATAAAATCAACACTAACATCACTTCACATGGAATCAAATCAATTATGACACCTGAGAATACAAGTAAATCTGCTCAATTAGAATTCCAAGTTATCATTAGACAGTTATCAGTAAAAATAATAATAACCAACCGCTGCTAAGCCTTTGGCATACTGACACACTACATAATACGGTGACGATTAGCGTGCTAATGTTTGCAATAGGTTCAAACTCTGAATTTAGTCTCTCTGTTTCACTCATTTGCTTCTCCCTTTGAGTGGGAAAATGTAAGGGGGTCTATCTGCAAACACTGTGAGACACGACACTAAGACTTCCTATGAATCATTGCATTTGGAGGGGCAGATGTTTTAAGGTCCTGCCATACAGTCAAGCTGCAGAATGACTCTTGCAAAAGCTTTCAGTGCATTGTGGCATGGTGGCATGATTAGCAGAAAGTAGTCTACAGGCCATCGGCACTTTCTAGTCGACTAACTAATGCACTAAAATGGATAATAGTAAAAATAAGTAAGGGGAGGTTAATACATTTAAGATGTGGCTGAAGTCACTCTGTAACATTTCTGCAGCTGAATAATAAGCATGTGAATGGCTGGATTTGGTGAGTCGGGATGATTTGCAGCCCGTGCTATACCTACCCGTTTTATTTTCCACAGCTTCAGAGACACTACATTTAGATGTTTTATGTAGGTTTTGCAATTGCAGTATTTGTATGTGATGGGTTTGTAGCTTAAACCTATTCGCTGGAACGTTCAAGACAATTTAACTACACAGCAAAGCAAGACACGAGTAGGCAAAGTTCTTTATGTTTCTCGTGCACGGGAGAGAACTGGACAAACGCCGTTCCTTCGCTTGACCCCAGATGCTCTCGTCCGCTCCCCCCGTAACGCTGCTCTTTATTGAGGTTACATGAGTATGCATAGGTTCATTAACATATGACATATGCATACAAACAAAGAGTACCTTGTCTGTGCGTTGTGTGTGTGTGTGGTCAGAATGTGACCCCATAAACGACTTCCCTAAACCTGCTGGTCTGGGAGTCCAGCAGTTCATCTAAACAAAAGGCACTTAGACTAAAACAGATATAGATGTGTTTATCCTGCCATGAAACAGTAAGAAGGTATGACCTCTTAATGACCTCTCCCATGCTCCCAGGATGTGGGTGTGAATGCCAGAACAGTCTGGAAGGCACACAGAGTCTTTGCAGACTACTAAGGATCAGACCCCTATCAATATGACATCGATTCTAAACTCTAAGCATATATGAGTAAATATTTCTAAGCATAAATGACAATCAACCATATAAACCTGACAGTATGTAATTGCAGCATTTGTTTAGGCAGATTTAGGTGGGTTAGGTTTAGATGCTCCCTCCTTCCTCTGTTGAACACAATCAACCAAAGTCGATGATTAAACACAGGATAAATGACAAAAAAACCAGTCATGATTATTACTGACTTCTAACATCATATAACCTGTTTTGTATTTATTTAAAATATGTTACACAGTGTCTGTCTTTTTTTTTTTTTTATTGGTGTATGAAAGTAAAACTTGTATGACTTGTATGTTTTAACAAGGTTTTCTTACGGAAATGCTCCAAATAGTTTTTTATATGACAAAAAAGCCAGTTTGACTTTGAGTCATTAAATTACAAAAGTAAAACACACCCTGGAACTGCGCCAGGCTGATAGAATGATCATGTGATACCTGTTCGTGTTCTTAAAGCTCACCTGTTACAGAGATTTTTCAAACAGAGCACTTTAACCAGGTGTCGCTTCCTCCATGCCCATGCTCTCAGGTTTAATGCCGCTACATTTTAGTGATGGTACTTTGTTTCTGTGTTTTCACCACTGGTGTCTCAGTCTGTGTATAGTCATTGTATGTGTTTTTACATGGGTCTTTTCTACTCCTCTGGGCTTTTCATGAGTAAACAAAAAGAGAAAATGTCTGTTTTGTGTCCTTTCTGCTACACCTAATAACCTTGAAGCAGATGTCATGGATCTCACTTCCACAGCTAAAGTACAAGAGTTTCTAAGCTCTCATGGTGTATACCATAGCTACAGTGTTGATCAGATGGTTCAAAATAAAATGATCGAAGTCGTTGCAGTTTACCAAAACCAAATTAAGAGATACTCTGTCGTCTTTAAAAGCTACATTTCCATTATACAAAGCAGTGTTGTTACCGCCAAAAGCACTCTACATTTCCGTACAAATTTTACACACTCTTTCATACCTGAACAATTTAATGTGTAGACTGGAGGAACTGGGACCTATTGGGGGTGTTTAAAATGCCATCCTATAACATCACCACTTTTAATAGATTGCATTATTTATGTTATAAACAGATCACAGTGGTTTGCACATTTGCCTAACAAAGAAAAGAGCCTTGGCTCGGCTCTGGGAGGAGATACAAATGCTTTTGGGGTTGTGTCAGGAAGGACATCTGATGTTGAAACAAGAAAAGAAAAATCTGCCAAATCAATCTATCCCCTAAAAATGTTGTGAGATGAATGTGATGGGTCAATTAAAAATGATTTGTTAGTTAACTGTTAAATTATATATAGTTTAAATTAACTATCTGTTCACCAGCCTTTAATAAAGTGTCACGCTTCTGGGTCTTTGTGACCCAGCATTTTGAGTCTCTTGTGTTTTGGTATTTTATATTATGGTTTATGTTCTGAGTCCTTTGTTGGGCTGTTTTGATTATTGAAGTTATTATTATTACTCTAGGTTCGGTTATGGCTGTTAAAGTTTTCGTTCTTCGGTTTTGTTATGGCTTCCCTGTGTTCCGTGTCTACTCTGTGCCGTTCTGTCCCACGCTTCAGGCCTCTGTTCTGTCTCCCCAGTCTCTGTTAAGTTTACGTGTTTAGAGTTCAATCGGTGCTTTTCATGTTTTACTTTGAAGGTCCGTGTCTCATATCAGTCTTTCTAGTTTTCTTTCCCTTGTCTCGTCCGGCCTAATCACTCCCAGCTGTGCTCTCCTTCTGTGTCGCATTCCCCTCGTTATTCCTCGGTGTAGTTAAGCCCCGTGTTTCTCTTTGCCAATGTCGCAATCTCCGCATCCACGGCTGTGTGTTTCCTTGTGTGCCTCTCCTTGTGTTTAGTTTATATTTTCCCAGTTTAGTTTTGTACTGTTTTCCACTTGTGTCAGCAATAAAGCTGCCTTTTGAGTTCACTTTCCCACCTCTGTGTCGTGTGCAATTGGGTCCTTTCCTGCCTGTGCACAGCCGCATTATGACATAAAACCGTAAATTAAACATAAGGGAAAAGTGTTTACAAAGCACAATACTTATCACATGGTTTGTAACCATGTGATAAGCCT